TTCGTTCTTTATGATTTATCTATTATATATATTAATAATATATATATATATATATACGATATACAACATATATAATATATATATGGACATTGACGTTCAAAGAATTTATAAAGAAAGTATTGGGTGAGGCAACAAGCGAGGGGCATCATTGACAGGTGGTGTGCTATTGGTATCACCTATCAGGTCTGATGACGGACGCAAGATTACCCTGGTCTATCTATAGTGGGTCGCCATTTTTGTGCGCCAAGCCATGAGTGCTCCTGGGTTTCTTCATGATGCCCTACGTGCCACTTGGCAGTTGCAACAATCTACAGTTAACATAAAAAGAATTGTTATAATCCAATTTTATTGCCACCACTAATTACTCTCCTATCTGCGGGAAATAAACTCTCCCTCACGTGCAAACGAAAAAAAAACTAACGTCCAAACGGCCGAGATGCCTGACCTCTCGCTACCTACACCCGCTTAATAATTTTTTTTCATATGTATTCATTAAGGGTATATCAAGCGGTATCAATGGAATCAAGAGTGTAATCAATGGGGGAGTCAAGGTTAATGGCCAGAAGCATTGCAGCATTCGCGCAGATGTTAGCCTTTTCTTTCCTGCAGTGAGGACCGTTGTTTACATGCGATTGGAGATTATTAGTCTGATGTGCAATAAAACTTCTTAGAATTATTGTTTACCAGCTCATTAATACATCTATCTTTCTATTTTTACTGATTTGTCGTGTGGAAAACTGCCACAGTGAATAGATGACTGGGGTCGATTAGAACCTTTTGTAATGCAACCATCTTGTTCAGCAGCGATCATCAGACGCGGGAAAGAAGCAACATTTAACATGGTCTCGCCCACCAGACCCATCAACCCCCCACGAAAATTCCCCGGCCCTACCCCCCCCGCTTGTCCTACAGCAACATTGTCTGTGGTATAACTGTAATAGAATGTAGATATTATAACATTTCATGAGCTAAATTTCACATAGATAAGGAACAATGTTTAAGACTTTGCGGTGAAAAAAACAGACATATGAAATTTGACTTGAACGCCAAAGGTCTTGAATGTTGATGACGTAGACGGCATCTGCTGTTGAAGGGGATTTTTAGGGACTATCATGAGATGTACACATACTTCTTACTGTCATATGTAGACGAGACGCTATATTTTCCTGTAATTCTATAACTGCGCCGTTATTGGCTCTTCGTAGAGGTTCAATGGCTCGACTGTCTCCTTGATTTGATTCGCCGTCAAGTATTCACAAACTGTTTTTATTAATAGTAAATAAGAATTGATCTAACATGCCACGCAGTTCATTTATGCGCGAAGGTGATATTTTGTCTCTGCCAACTGGCCTTCAGTTAAAACCTACAATTGTGACTGTCGGTTAGATATCTTACGTGCTGCGTTTGCTCCCGTACCTGTACTTGAAATACCACTCGTCCAATCCACGTGAATATTAGAAATAATAGACGTATCTGTTTTTTATGCCAGGTGTGTGAGGGTAATACACTTTTAGTATAATGTAGTGATAGCTAAAAAAAAAGGTGATTATCATCGTGCAGTGCAGATGAACAAATTTTTTAACAATAATAGAAGCAGATTATATATAAGTATCTTTGTTGTATAAGGATGAAGTGCTCATAACGCACGAGATCTTCTACGCCTCTCTCTATGCTCTCTCTCTCTCATCTCTCTCTTGCTCATTGCCTCTTTACTAATCTCAGGTATCTCGTCTCTCTTCGACTGTTTTTTCTATCATGCCCCTGCCCCTTAGTGCACATAGATCTGCGCTATTCTCTTGATCCCTAGTTTTCCTTCACCCAACACACACCACCATATACGAAACGCGCGCACAAACCCCACCACACCACACACACACACACACACACACACACACACACACACACACACACACACACACACACACTCAGACACAAAAAGAATAAATATGCATAAGTATTTTTTGATAACCATTTTATCTTGATTTAATATACTTTTCCACTGAGATCCAACCAGTACGGATGAATAATTGCAAGGAGAATAGAATGCTGTTGAGAAGGGCAAAATAAACTAAATCGTTTGACTCTGTTAACCACCACCAACGACCGTTATTCTGTTTTCTTCCTTCAAGCTGGGGCATTTATCGCAGAATAGCTGTAATCTTATAAGAGACTGGATACTGCACATGACCGTCGGTTCTGCCGACAGGGAGAGCTGTGACGCCCTCTGGTAGCTGGAAGGTGAAACGCTGTAACAGGTTCGCTACGACAGTAAACATCGCTTCGCGAGCGAATTGCATGCCGGGACATTTTCGGAAGCCGTTGCCAAACAGCATAATCTTTTTATCCGGTGCCACGACGACTCCGTTCTCATCCAGATACCTAGACGGGTCAAACTTCTGAGGCTGTGGGAAATTGATGGGATTCATAGCTATCTTAGCGTGGTTGATCAGTAGAATGGTATCTTTCGGCACATCAAAGCCCCTCAATGTCGTATCGGACGACGTGCTACGTAGACCAGGTATCGGAAGAATCATCCCTACACGCTGAATCTCCCAAAGCGTAGCTTCCAAGTAGGGCATGTTGCGGCGATCTTTCGTCGTCGGCGCCCTGCCGCTGCCGACGACATCGTCGATCTCAGCCTGCAGCTTCTTCTGCACGTCTGGATTCTGCACAAGCAGCTGAATGCCCCAGACGGTGTTGGCAGTGGCGGTGTCAAATCCGGCGGTTTGTAAGTCATCCAACACACAGCAGATGTCGGTGTCGGACACCATCAGCTTGCCCGTCTGTTGCTGGATTAGCAAGTGGTCGATAAAATCGCGCGGACTTGACTCGTTCAACGTCTGTCGGTGTTCCTCGAGTAATTTCATGTGCCAGGCCACCATCGTTTCTACGAGTCCTTTTAATTCTTTGACTTCAGCGCTGGTAATGTAGGCGAGCCATGGAAACCAGTCCACAATCAGATATGATCCTAGTTCCAACCTTAAAGTAAAAGGGTATATATTACACCTTACAAAGCTATTTCTCTCCCACCCTTTCCTGTCCTCTCATTTTTTCATCCTCCTTCCCTGTACCTCTCCCCCTCTGTTTCTCCTTTTATCCAGCTCTCCCCCTCCCTTTTTCGCTGCCCTTCGCTCTCGCTCTCTCATTTCTTTACTTCTCACTCAACGGTTTCTCCGTTTCTTTTTCAAATTGCCTACACATTCCTTTGCTATCTTTCTCGCTCCTTGTATCTGCCTTTTTCTTCTATTACCTATCCTTATCTCTGCCTCTGTCTCTGTGTAAATTTGGTCTTCTCTTGGTCTATGCATCGATAGGCCTACACGCGCGTCCCTCCCTATCTATCGCTATTTCTCTCTTTTTCTCTTTCAGTCTCGACACATCTTTAAAGTCCTCTCTCTCTCTCTCTTTCTCTCTGTCTATCTCGTTTCCTCGGTCTTTCTCCCCTCTATCTCCATTGTTATTATTATTGTACTTTTTATATATCCAATAAACTACTAGTAGACAACGTAGATACGAACCTGCGAGCAAACGTAGCCGCCCATTTGAAGTACTCCTCGTCTCGCTGTTGGAATATTTTCCCATAGAGCAACATTCCGATAATGTTGACGTAACAGAACTCGATCACGTGATGTGGGTCGAACGGTTTACCATGCTCGCTAGCGACGTCCTGCATTAGCAACGCGACTTCACTCGCTATAATCGTGTTAAACTTCTCGGCGACTTCAGGAATGGCCGGATTCAAAGCCGCGCGCACCACTTTGATTTTCTTGCGTTGCATGTCGGAAGCTCTTGCGAATGACACACCGTGGTGTTGGTTGCCGGCCGTGTCTAACTTAAAAGATAAAAGGTCGGGCTGGTCGGCAAAGATGTGTCCCTTCTCTATAATAGCCTCTGCCAACGTTTCGTAAGTGTTGACAACAACTACGCGCTTCTGGCCCATGTTCAAGCTGAACACATCCCCGTATCTCTCCGACATCTTGTTAAAAAAGATCTCCGGTCGGTTGCCGAGTTGGAACATGCTGCCGACAACGGGCCACCCGCTGGGGCCAGGCGGTGGGTTACCCCGCCAGCGGTTTGGTCTCAGTAGCCAGTAGCCAACAAACAGGAATAGAGCCACGATAGCCAGGTTCATAGGCGCGAGCCACGTTGCTACAGTTACAACAGCCATCGTTAGAGCCTTGTGAACACTCTCCTATGTGAGCAGAGTGTCTATATACGGTGCTACCTTTGCCCAGGGCTGTAATAATTAGACACTGCTCAAGCACGTGAAACATGGGAATATAGACGTGATATGTTTTATGCAGGCACTGTCAGTGCAGGTACACGCTTCACGACCGTTCTTATGATT